CTGTAATTACAAGGGATAACATATAAACAGATTCGGTTCAATGAGGTGTCAACTAGTGTCAAGCGTTACATAAAACACAGTCAAGCAAGACACATATGAACAAATAAACAATGAAAAAAAAAAAAAGGTTTGTGCAGCCAGTTGTTGCGCGAGCAGTTTGGCGAGATTGGTTCCTTCCGAGTTAGCCGAGTTCGCGGACCTGGCACGGACCTCGCCGGACCAGAAAAAAAGCAACAATAGAACGGGTTTAAAATCTCCAAAACCGTGGTAAGACAGGTCCGCTGACCTCTTTAATGACGTTCGTCCACGTGATACATAACAATCCAAAGGTCCGCGGACTTGTCCTCGGACACGTTCCTGTGGTCCGCGAACCAGCTCTTGACTTTTGCACTCTTTCTTCGCCTGGAATATGGCGGGTTTCCAACCGCAGAAAAGTGACGTCAACTATTTCCTATGCAAAACGCAAGTTCGTCTGCTTTTTTTTTTTTTGTTGTTTTGTGTGTGCAGGGGTTGTGGTGACGTTAGAACGCCGAGCTCTGATTGGCTGTGATTGAAAGATAGTGGGTAGACCTCGAAAGATGCTGCCCTTGAGGTCTTATACACACACTCTAAAAAATGTTCGTGCGTCTACTTTGCTGCGCAACACTCGGAGAGCCAATCACCCCAGCTTACGGAGGCAGCTCAGCGAATGACAATGGCGAAACATATGTTTAGACCGAAAAACGCGGTCTGAGTTGTGACATTAAGCAATGCAAAACGTCACGCTTGCATTGCTTAATGTCACAACTCAGACTGCGTTTTTTGGTCTAAACATATGTTTCGGCATTGTCATTCGCTGAGCTGCCTCCGTAAGCTGGGGTGATTGGCTCTCCGAGTGTTGTGCGGGAAAACAGACTTACGTTTTTTTTTTACAGTGTATCGTTCATTCAGAGTCAATCAGAGCTCGTCGTTCTGAAGTCACCATAACCCCTGCAAAAAGAAGCAGACGAACCTCCTCTCCGCATAGAGACTTGTCCGGGGACATGTCCGCCATGTGAATACACCTCTAGAAAGATGGCACCTTTAGACTATACACCAGAAATTATCAATAGCTCCCTCGGCAATTTACCATCCGCCTACGTCAACGGGCTTCGCGATATCACCAACCCATAGAGAAATGCACCATCAGAGAATACAACAAAAACAAAAATACCGTTCCACAACAACCATCGCCACAGTCACCCCTGAAGAAGAGGCCGAGCAGGCCTCAAAACGTTGGGTCCGGCTCGGTTGGACGCCTCCCCTATTATTTACTCGTGCCCCAACCTGCAGACAGACATCTGTCAAATGTTTACGTTCAAGTTGTGTCCATTCATGGCTGTTTGACCTTGACTCGACGAGGAAAAAATCGAACAGACACGCACCATATGCACTGATTATATTTTATGTTGTGCCTCGTAGCACCGCCGAATCGTCGAATGAGTTAAACTTTATTTTTGTTCGCGGAACTCGACTTCGGTGCCTGGTCCGGAACACGTCTCCGGCAGGCGTATTTACCGCGTCCTCAAATGTGGTCCTTCGATTTCCACCTGATGAAGTCATAGAAGTTTGATGTCGCATGCAGCTACCTTGGCGGTGGCACAACAGCGGACGTGGATGTGGCAGACGCCAGTTGTGCTGCAGCTACAGGTCACTCTCCGGCTTGACACTCCATAGAAGACTCAGTAGCCTGGAGTTGGGATGGCGCGACAAAAACGACACACGCGTTCGTTCGTACTTTTACAGCGGAGCTGTTAAGGGCTAGTTTCCCCAGGATCGTGCCCCCGCAAAGAAATGTCGACACAACACTCTGGACAGCTACCGTCATCTATGAGCGACGGCGGGAAGCCAAGTATCTGGTTGCCGCCGTCACTCATAAAAGGCGGCAGCCTTTCCACTTTGGCTTGCCGACTTGCGGCCGGCCGTTACTTTCCATTGTACAGCTCCGCTGATGGTCTTCCTTCTTCACCAGAATGAAAAGGCTGAAAGTTTTTTACCGGAACTTTAGCAACCAACCACCAGGATGACGACATCCGACATGACACGCCGGCTACTGTGAATTTAAATTTGCCAGTTCAGGACTACTTTCGACGCCAATATAGGACGCTGTACTTACATCGGAGCTCGACCTCATAGGTTATGGTTGGCGGGAAAGGTAACAAGGTCTTTCTAAACGGAGCGTCCGGGCATGTACTGACAGTGAACAGGTTCAACTATTGGCCTGTTCAAGGCGCTTCATATGAAGGCCGCCATTACTGACCTCCTGGTGTCTTACCGTGGTGCCGAGCCACTACAACTTGCGATAAGGAATTCACGCGAGGCATATGTGACATTAGGGAGTTTTAGAATAACGTATACGCAATTTTAGCGCACGCTAGCGCTAAATTTAGCTCTTGTATTAGCGCACGCGACGCGAGAGAGTTTTAGAATAGCGTTTCTCCGTGGCGACGCAAAAGCCCTAGCATCTCGCGCTTGCGACGCCACCGAGATACAATCACAATTTTTATTTCACACAAAATGCTGTAATTTTAGAAGAAAAAAAAAGTTTTTTGCCCAGAGTATCATTTTAGATTTGTTTAAACGTGAGAATGCGACGCGAACGGTTGACCGGTCGTGTCCGCTTGCGTCGCATCGGCAAGAGAGGTCTCGTGTACTGACCTTCGCACATCGTACCTTCGCCGAGAAATGTTTGCGCGTCACAAGCATCAAGTTGCCGGTGATCGTTGCCAAACCGCGTGCAATGTCGTCCCGTATCGAAAATCGCACTCGCGAGGATGCCGCCGACGTCGCACTCACGACGCCGCCAAAGCAGCCGCTGGCATAATCCTGGAAGCCGCCATTTTTTTAACGCTGCTCGTCTTGGCTTTAGCCAACTTCTCGTAACGAATCCTCCTTGGAGAAGCGCAAAGACTCTTTGCGTACGCACGCTCTTCCCGAGAAGGGGGAAGCGCACGCTAAAATTGCGCACGCAAAGCGCAAAACCTGGTTTGCGTTCGGAGCATGCGCAGTGGCGACGACGCTATTCTTTGCGCACGCAAAGCTTTAGCGTGCGCTATTCTAACACTCCCTATTAAAACCATGGTGTCTAGAAAGGATACCCCTCACCCCCCCCCCCCCCTCCAAATGTGCCGTCACTGATGATGTAAAGCGAAATCAATAAAAAAAAATATGTCAGTTGTGACCGCATTTATAGCGTATATGCCTAGTATCGTTCGCTTGCCGTTTTCATTGTCAGGACCACATCAGCGCAAAGCCATGCTTGATGCTTCCCATTAACGACAATTTATCGAAGTCATCGGCAGAGTTCCTGATCTAATGTTATGGAATGAGTAGGTTTACTACGGTTGATCGAACGCCCTTTCATCAAAACATGTTTTAGAGAACGGGCTCGTTTTATCGAAACTCGGCTTAGAGAAAGCACTCTCAGTTTAGAGAAATGTCGTTTATCGAAAAGGGGACGCTGCTTAAAAAAGGCTCCCAGCTACTAGAGTGTACTAGAAAGTAGGAGTGGGACGAGCTACAGGCTCCGCTCATGCTTTCAGATGCACCTCAAAATGTGGAAAGCGATCAGGTGAAACCAAGCCACTTCGATCGCAGCGCCACCTTTGCTGGGTGCGATCGAGCAACGACACAGGTCAAGGTAATATTGTATTTTTTTTATGATTTTGACGTCAGAGGTAGCGTCAAAGCACCACGACACGACAACGTGACGTTACGACGACGCCACGACGTCATCGTTGACTACGACGTTACTCGAGGCCAAGATGCTGTCGTAAGGCCGTCGTGACATCCCGTCGCGTTGAGGACGGCGCCGTTACGCGACATCGAGTCACCGTGGCAACGCGGTCATGACATCGCGCGCCGCGTCGAGGGCGACGTGGACGTGGTCGTCGATGCCGACGTTGACGTGGACGCCCCACGCAACGTCAAACATCGCTATGACGTCACGTTAACGTCGTCCTGACGACATCGTTAACATCAACGTCACAACGAAGCCTCGACGGCGTATAACGTCGTCGTCTTCGCCAGCAACAATGTCGACGCGCAGTCATGACGAAGTCTTGACACCGCGTAACGTCGTCGAAGATGACGTCAACGTCGACGTCTTGAAGTTGTCGGGACGTCTTCGTGACGTCGAGTTGCGTCATGTCGACAACGACGTCAAAAAACTGACGCCAAGCGTCCTTATGACCTTGTATTGACAAGGACGGCGCCATCTTGACGTCCCGTGACGTTGTCGTCGTCGTCATCAACGTCAACGTTGATCGTCGTCGTTGTCAACGCAATATGACGTCAGAACGCAGTCTTGATGTCGTGTAACGCACGTTGTTAACGTCGATGACGACATTGACATCAAGGCGTCGTCCTGATGTCGCATGGCGTTGTGACAAGAAGTCAGGTCGCGGTGACTTTATGTACGTGACGACTGACGTCTAGGTTGTATAAAAAAATATTGTGCGGCGTTCTATTGTTTCTATGACCTTGACCAGTGTGCCGGTCGAGCTTGGGAGGAATGGCTGACTCCACCCACGGGCACCGACATACCCACCGCACTAGAAACACTAATTAATCATTCCGGTCCCCCCGCAGAATCCATCCGCGAAACGTGGGCCGGACGGGCTGTCCGGACCAGGACGTAGGCCCCCACACAAAATAAAGTCTTGCTTGCTTGCTTGCTTGCTTGGAACGAAACGCGTTTTTCATGATAAAAACGGCTAAATCAAACCACTTCGCTCGTAGCTCCCGAGAGGGCGCTACGAGCGAAGTGGCTTGGATTAGCCGGTTTTTTTCCACATGCGGAAATACCTAAATAGCACTCGTTCCTTCTAGTACGCTCTACCCCTACTTCGCGTGTGTATCACTAGGAGTTTCTCTTTAAGCTGTTTCACATAAAACCGTCAGCAACTCAGAGGCACAACCGGCGGTCCCAGTGACGTTTGTTCTTGAAGCACAGTGGAATCCGCCATGTACTCCGGCTACCCTCAGGCAGCGACGAATGTCCCATTGGCAATCTCTGCGATGAGGTCGTTCTGACCCGTGTCACTTGCAGTCGCCAGCTTGGAACCCAAAGTCCAAACCTGAGCTGAACCCAGCTCGCGAGCGACGCAAAGAAGCTCCGGGCTGTTGATAAAAACAACAAAAACAAGTGTTCATTAGCGCGCACCCCAGTGATACACTCGTGACGAAATGTCCCTACAGCGTGCAATTCGCGTAACGAGTGTTGATAAAACGATCGTGTCGACGCAACATGTGTCCATGGAAAGTTATCCACGAAACGTAATTTCACGAAAGTTTCGACGCAATGATAGGGACCCGGTTCCTACCACCTCCCTTCAGTCGCTCGAGGTTGCGGATCTATCCGTCGCCGCCATGTCCGGCTTTGGCGAAACACTACCCCTCTTCACTTTCGCAGTGTTTCCTTCTATCAACTGTTGCCCCCTCCTTCTGATGACCGTCTGGCCTCTGGCTATGACATACACGTTAGTATTTTTCTTTCACAAGCCTTCTCTCTCTCTCTCAGGTGGGGTTCGTGTTGCTCGTCCGAAGGCCCCTCGGACAAGTGACACCAAACCCCACCTCGAACAACAGCGGTGGGAGAGACGCAGACACCACAGACTGCACATCCGTTCAGGATCGGGTATTGTTTGGCGTTCCCGTGGAATGCAAACGCCGTAGACGCCGTAGACAAGACACATTGACGCTAACGTCTGTTCCCATGCACTTGAACCGAGGCCTAAGGGAAACGCTTTTTTGGTTCCAGGTCAGACGGATCGAAAGTGCGAAAAGGGTTCGTTCGGATCGCACGCCAATCTTCTCGATGTTCGCTTAGTCGTCGTCCGCGCAGAAACGCAAGGTCGATTTCAACAGCGTAGATCACGGGCATCATCTTGCAAACGCATTCACCATAGAACTATCCAATATAACCATGGCTTGAATTGAATGTGCTCTTGCCATGTATGGGAAGTTTTAAGCGCATTTACCTCGCTAAATGGCATCTCAATTGCACTTGTACAAGTCATCCACAATATTTTACACACAGATTACTTAAATTTAACGACATTATGGTAGTGCACCAGCCAGTTTTGTTACGCCGCCGCTGTCCGCGTGCTTCGTGGGAAGTGTAGTCCTGCTGGCGCGACAACCCCGCTTCGGGTCTGCGCGAGCAGAGCACGACATGGCACGAGCTGCCCCGTGCACTGCGGCCTGCCTCTTGTGAGCTACAATTATGGCGGCGTCACGCATGCGCCGAACGCTTGGTGAGATCAGTCTCTAGGGGGTATTCACTGGACGCCATATTTGAGGGCGCAGTTTAAAGCGCATGCTAAACGAGATCGCATTAGTAGGTTGCTAAGACCGGCAATCTTGATGGTGTGGAATGCACGGTGCAAAAGAACTGTGGAAGCTCGCCATCAGGACGCGCTCAGGAGTCGCGCACACTGCTATGGCCGCCACTGAATGCTCCCTAATGGCCCGCGGGAGTGACGCTATTTCTTTGCGTACGCAAAGCTTTTGGGTGCGCTATTGTAAATCTCGCTAATATGACAAACCAATGTCCGTGAAGAAAAAGAAAAGAAAAATAAATAATTTAAATAGAAGTCCCCTCTTTATTTTATTTTTGTCTTTAAGTTAGTCTTTGGTGCGTTAAATGCTGACGTCTCACCTCTGCCTACAGTATTCCAGCGCTGTTCCATTGCCGCTGTGCGAGCCCGTTGTCAACTCCGCCATGGGAACTTTTGCAGAGCGCAAGTCGTAGATCCTCAGGCAGCCATCACATTGCAGCGTGGCTATCAGCAGTGGTTGCGATAGGGACCAGCGCGCTTTAGCTATAGAATCTTGCAGCTCTAAACACATCACTGGGCTTGGCTGTCGAGAAATAAGAACACGGTTGTATTGGCAGTTACCTAGATTTTATACCCGACCGGCCCACGACCTGCGATTCCAGCATGTGCATAAATTCAGAAATAGATGAGGGAGAGCAAACAAATGAGGAAATCGATAATTCAAATCGTGATAGCGTGGAATTATGTAACCCCAAAAAAACGAACTTAGAAGTTGTATAAGCTAAGTGTTGTCCTGGGACACTTGGCATCAGATAGTCAGCTCTTGAGTAAGTTAACCAATTTTCTCATGATGAATTAGACAGGTTAAATTTAGAGCACGTTTTAGAGTCACATTCTTGAGAGTGCAAGTGCGTAAGAACTTTGGCTGCGTAAACAAAAAAATAAATAAATAAATGCGCGACTGGTGTACGTTTGAATTGCTGAAAATTTACGAGTGGAGTTCACCTTCGGATTTGGTTTGATTTTCACAAGAAAAGTAGGACATACACGTTCAGGTTTTATCTTCCCGATCAACTAGGTCATAATCATATCAACTTATGTCACCCATGATAATGTTAATAAACAGGCGAGCTGGTTTAGGTTACGCATAGTTAAAACTGGAGACAACGGAAATAAAGGGGCAGGACAACAACACGTCCTAAAAATTGAAGGTAACAAAATCTAACCTGTTGCCCTGCCCCTTTATTTCGGACGTCTCTGAACCGATTTGGCCGAACAACTTTAACTGCGTTTGAAAACCGAGAATATGAGACATGCCCACCGTTTTGCAACCTTAATGAAGTTTCCTAGTTTGCTTTGCCGTTCATTGACCCTCTGTGACTGTTTTACGTCCTAGGAACGTTATTTCCTGACTTCAAATGTATACCACTGGCAGATACAAGTGCGCGGTGCAAGGACTCGTTATGACCGCTTCTATGCTGACAATTTTCTGTAGCATTACAGTGAGCCTGCATCAGATCATCGAACGACGTTTCGTCAACAGCTCAGATTACTTTTTTCTCTAATGAGTTGCATCAGACTGTCGCCGCGAAGCGGAGTGTACGGGTGGGTCAGGTGGGTCAACATTATTAGCGAGTTTTAGAATAGGGTGCCCCAAAGCTTTGGGTGCCCTAAACAGCTTGGGGCGTCCCACTGCGCCTGCGCAGAACTTCTGCGCATGCCCAGTGCGATGCCCCGAGCTGTTTGGGGCACCCAAGGCTTTGGGGCCCCCTATTCTAAAACTCGCTATTGTAATGAGCCGCCGCAGACGGTCGTTGCGAAGCGTCGTAAAAAGGGGGGGGGGGGGGGGGGGGGGGCGGATAGGTTAACACGCACTCAGTGATACACGAGTAACGAAAAGTCCCTACAGCGTGAAATTCGCGTAATGAGTGTCGATGAAACCTTAGTGTCGACAAAACGTGTTTTCATGAAAGGGACCCAAAAGCTGTCCCCAAGTGCAGTGGATGCAGGTCCAAGTGGGTACTATATATAGTCACTGACAAGATAACAAGGGCAGGGAGGTCTCTCAGTTGTCCCGAGCCTTCTACCTTCGAAGCACTCCGGCGTCTCGACAGCTTCGAGCGTGCTCGGGCAGCCAAAGTCAGGCGGAAGGCAACCAGCACGTGCTGGAGGCTAGACATAAAAAGGGCGTCTTGCCGTTCTCGCCCTGTCAGTGACTACAGTCATATCTATACACCATAAACCACCCATGTCGACACACAGTGTCGGCTGCAACCGTCTGCATGCAGGTGAAAAGTCTCAATTATTTTCGCAGACCCGATGTACGTAAGAAATGAGTGGCATCGCCTCATCAAATCACACTCGCCACTCCCAAGACAGGAAAACACAAAACTGTAAAACTACTCGACTCGAGTCGCCGAAGGTCTCTCAGCAGCACCCCTTGAACGATCGTAAAAATGCCACCCACCTGTAGAAGGCTGAATACGTTGAGTTCCCGGTCTGTGCCTGCCGAAAGAAAAACGTTTCTCTCGAATGGAGAGCAGTGGATGTCTAGGGTGTGACCACGGTGGGAGACGAACCCCGCCATTACGGGACACTTGTAAGAGTGACCCTTCCCCAAAGAGGTGTCCATTGTTGCTAAAAAGGCAGAAGGAATGGGAAAGCAGACATCAGTTTCTGTATAGCGCATTACTCTCTGGTTGCCGGCGCACCGACGCAGAAGCGATGCGGGGATGCCGGAGATACTATCAAGTACTTTATATAGGTACAGTATTTGACGCTATCAACCACCTTAACGCGAGAAGAAAGAAGATCGCGCGCTTTCTGTGGGACCCAGTGACGTAGTTTGACTCAAGTAACAATTCAACTATAGTTGGTGACAGGTTAGGTAAAAGCGAAGTGGAAGCTCCTCCCACCTCTTTCCACTTTAGCAGAGCGAACGCTAGAGAGGAGGTCCTGCTCTCCAGCGCTCGCTCTGCTAAAGTGGAAGAGGTGGGAGGAGCTTCACCTGAACAATTAACCTGTCACCGACTATTAGCGGTGAGATGTTTTGGTGGCGCCCTCCTGTAGTTCCCTCTCGTGATGTCATTATCTTGCGAACAACACGTTCGATGTTGTTTGTAATTAGCATGGTGGAAGCCTGAAATCATTGCACTCTGATACCAACACTGCTAACACCGCCAAAATTAAAGTTCTTCCATTACTCGTATTTCCGTCGATGAGCAATCCTTTGCTAACGTCATAGCCAGCATTCGGCCAATCGTGGCAGGCCGACCACAGCGACGCTTTCGATCGCGCACGTCGCCAATAGAAAAAAATTGCAACAACTTTTGCTGTTTACATACAAAAGATAAAGAGGTCGGATTTGAACCTACAAAATAACTAAATCCTATTCTTAATGTTGTCCTCGTATATGTACTATACTTGATTTCATTGTTGTCTAGACTATGTCTAGGATAGGGCTAGAAATAATTCTTCTCTATACAGGGCTGTGTTTTCCCGTTGAAAACAAACAGAGAAAACAAAATCCCGATTCCCAGTTCATTGTTCACGAAATATTCTACGAACAAGGTTTATTTTGTTTTTTTTTTAACTGTTTCTATATACCGGAATATTTTGTGGGTTATCGAACGTTTTGGCCACATTCCTCCTAGTCTACGATATAAATGACAAAGCGACCCTTCGGTATTTAGTTTAATATTTTTTTACATATTACAAGATAAATCACATATATTCGATATTGCTGCCGTGATCCCAATAATTTATAACTCATATATTTAGTCAAACTGAGATACCAAGTATCAGGGACGTAGCTAGGGGGTGGCCCATGGGGTCCGCCCCCCCCCCCCCCCGAAATGTTCCATTTTGCTGGGGCCTCCTCTCCCCCCTCCCCCTCATACAGCATTTTGTCATGGGCGGGCCCTCCCCCCAGTTCTCTCCCCCCCCCCCCCCCCCCCCCCAATCAAAATCCTGGCTACGTGCCTGCCAAGTATAGTTGCTTTGAGCGCAGTAATACCGCTTTCTTCGAAATAGTTTTGACACATATGTCGGCTTTTATGAGAAGGCAACTATTTCCGCGTGTTTTATTTGTGAAGACGTCCAACTTACATGGAAGGGGCTTTGAAATCGACAGGGACCCCTGTAAAACTGCTCCGCCCTCGGTCCCCATCATGAACATCGTGGGGTCAAAACGGCTGATAGAGATGCAGGTTACTGCAAATTTCGTTACTGAGAATCAAGCGTGGAGACTTTTACTTGTAAAAATCAACGATTTCAGAGAATGCACTAATCTTTTTAACAATAAAAATGCAGCATACTTTTAAGATAACGACTTCCTCCTATAGTTACGGGCATCATTTACACGTGACACATCTCCGTCAAAATGTCGTTTACAATGAAAAAACAAAAAAGACAAAATTGTGAGCACTTTATAAAAAAAAATAGGAAAAAATCTTCTATATTTTATTTATAAGGCATTTAAAGTTTCGTTTTCAACGTGTGCCCCTAAAGGTTTGCCAGACGCTCATTTTACAGCGTGAACTTATACAATGCTCAACTGGCAATGAGTCGCAATTCATATAGACGTAGAAAAGTTTATTAATATGTCAACATATTCGGTGTATATGCATGCATACGAAAATATTACTAACAGGTGTCTTCCTTTTTTATATTGCATTATATATTTTTATTGCAACAGAGACGTAAATTTAAGATGTTTACGGACCTATGAAAGCAGAAAAGAAAACAAACTATATCCTAGGTGTGATTGAATTTGTCAAGTATACCGAGTCCGCCGAGTGTCTCTACCCGTACGAAAATGTCAGATATGGCCCTGATATATTTTATATACGGACAGATATGATAATATAAGCAGTCAAATAGGGCTGTATTTCGCCAGATCTGGGAGCTAATACGGCCGTATTTCGCCAAATAGGTGGGCAAATACTGCCAGATCTGGCCGTATAAGTGCGTAAATACGTTCATATATCGCCATATACGCGTGCAAATATAACACCTGATCATGATATATGGGCCCGTTTCAGTCGTGCAAGCAACAAGTTATATGTACTCGCTAAGACACCAGTTGATAGATCTATATTGCATGAGTCTCATGTAATTGGTTAACTATTGTCAACATCCTTAAAGTGAAGTTATTCCAGGAATTTGGACCAATTAATCAATTGCGCAATTTGAAGATTGAAAGACAAATGAAATTTGGTTGTATGTCTGATGTGTGACAATATGACGAAGTGCGATCGGAACGCGAGTTAATCAAATAATGGATTTTAGTCGCAGCTCTAAGGCACCCGTTTCCGAGTTAAGCGGTGTTGGCGTCGCCATCGGTGTAACCGCCCCGTTAAATTTAGCGAGAAATTAAATTTGTACGTATGTCACGTTGACGTCAATTTTCCCGCGAAATCTGGCAGTGAAACTAATTTTTTTTTTATGTTTCCCCGCTAAATTGAGCGGGCAAACACGAACCGTTAGCTTACTCAAGATGCAAGACACTACTTCGCCGTCCCGAATCCTTTTCCCTTCGAACGGAAGCCGTTGCGCCCGGAGTACAATACGCAGCTTTTTCAAAACGGTTCGCGCAGCATCGCATAAGTTCGTTTGCGAGCGTCGGCGATTCATCGTGTGTTGGAAGTCGGAAGATGTGCTGTCCGTGGTGTCTTTTATGTGAAACTCGTTCGTAAAAAAAATTGGAAACAGTGTACACATGATTTTAAATTTATTTGTAAAAATATGTATATACATATTTATTTATCTATTTATTTGTCAACATCATACACAAAAATAGTCCGGTTTATTTTTTCATTTAAAATTATAATGTCGGTTATAACTTATACAGCGTAAAACATAGTCTCCTGAAACTCGCATCGTTTTGAGTTCAAAAGCTGGGCTTAATAGAGCAGTATGTTCACTCGGTATTGACAGCAGGGTAGATGCTACGCGTGTTTTAGGCAAATCGTGTCTCCGGTTAGGGTCACGTGACTACAGTCTAGAATCTGGTGACAAAGCAGGACATCGCACCTGCCTGGCACCCAAGGCCACACTTAGCATTCACAGCACTCTCAACCCTCGTTACAAGTGACACATCCCCTTGTTGTGGCCCCATAAGATAAGCCTTTGTTCGTGAAACCCCGTTTTGGCCTCTCCTTCGATCCTTTTATCTCTCTCCCTAAGCTGAAAGCGTTGTAAAAGGTAAGTGGTCACGTGGTTTGACGGATGACGCATTAGCCGTTGCCGATCTCGAAATGCGTTTAGCCGGACCTAGTTTGGCGTGTGAATTTTCCCTCTGTGGCCGCTGCGTATGTCCGCTTTTGCAAGCGATTTCTTCAAAGAAGCCCAAGAATATTTTGTGATGCGTTTAGTGTTCGGTTCTACAAACGACAGCTTGTGCTACATTGTGTTGAATCTTCACGGGCACCTTCTCGTTTCTGTGTTCGAGTGGTGGTTTTGCCGTGGCCGTGTCGGCATCTCCCTCAAATACCACCTTTCAAGTCGCGTCTCGTCAACGTAAGTGCGCTGCAACCTATTTCGTGACAATTGATCGTTTTTCCTAAATGTATTCTTCCAGATTACCTCTAGATTTAGGCCGTGTCTCTCTCTTGGCAGCCGGGAGAATCATTGTGCAGAATGTTTCAGCATTGGTGCGATTGCGCTACAAGCAGAAAGTTTCGATATGCCGCCGACAAAGTTTTGACTTGTCGCCAAAAAACAACAGCATCACAGACTCTTAATTACGTGTTCCAAAATTTGACGAGCGGCTTTACGAGTCGCTTGTAGAAAGATTGTTATGATTTTCCGAAATACTGGAAAACAATGCTAGGTTACCGTCATAATCTAAACCGTGAGATGAGGATAAATCAAATAACGGAAAACTCTCATTGACTAAGCTTAATATTATGATATTTCCTAACCGGCATGCCAACATACTTTCGCTCCTTGCATGGGCTACCGTCTCGCGGGCGGCACAAACCGATCCCCTGACGGCGGCGTCTCGGCGAGCTTGCACACGGAGCCGCCGCCGACCGATCGCCGTTATCGGCGTTATGTAACGATAGGCACAGGACATCTACTCCACGAATGGGCAAAAGCCGATGAAAAGGAGTGCACGAACGTAAACAACGGTCGAAAAGTGGCGTTGCTCGCCACTATGAGATGCGTGCCGCAAACTCGGTCATCCGCGGGCGTATCCCTCTCCTCCCGCTCGTACTTTCTCTAACTTGACGGATGTCTCGCGGTTCATGCCGACGAAACGATCGTCGGGATACCGGGTAATCGCTACAGCCGAGCGCGGCACAGCTTACCATTGCTCCCGCTGTGGAGGGTCGAAGAGTCAACTACCAGCACGGTGGATACCGTTTTTTTTTATTCTTGCAGATTTGGTTTAAACGACGCCGTGACCGCTACACTTATGCCGTTTGTGCGAGAGTGATACGCCCAGGGGGACGTTATGTAGTTTGCTAATCTTTGCGATTAGTCGGCAAATTAATTAAAATTTATTAATTAACTTTTTAATTGGTGAAAATAGACATATGGTTTCAGTTAGAAACTTGCTGAGCGTCGTCCAAGACCCCTAAACCAGTAATTTTTAGAAAGACTGAGCGCGTGTGAAGCGCAGTAGTGCGCTGAAGTTACCACTCGTGGGCCAGGTACAAGGCTGGGGCTAGATAACAAATAGAAAAATTGCGCGGGCGCCTTACCGAAGCCGCTAGCCTTGTACCTGTTCCACGATTGGTAACTTTAGTGCGCTTCTCACGCGCTGAAATACTGAGAATAACTGATTTATGGATTTTGGACGACGCCCCGCTAGCTGCTTATTGGAACCGCATGTCTATTTTCACTAATTGAGAAGTTCATTAGTGAATTTTAATTAATTAGCCGAGTAATCGCAAAGCTTGGCGCCCAGGTAATGTTCCCCTGGGCATATAACTCACTCGCAGAAGCCGCATAAGTGTAGCTTTCATGACTTTTTTTTTTTTTAAACAAATCTGCAAGAATAAAAAAGAAACAAAAAAAAAACACCCTGTTATGGGAGGCAGATATACCCCTATTTGGCAGACCCAGATATGGATATATAAAAAATTGGGCAGATCTGGCTATATAAGGCTTATATAAACTGGTGTGCTTGATATGGCCAGATCTGCCCAATTTTTTATATATCCATATTTGTGTTTTTTTATATAAGTCCAGATATGCCATTTTTGTAAGGGTATCGTCTATGGGCACTTGCTACTTAAGGAACGCAGGGTGTGGCAAGTTCTGAGCATCTCATTTTTCTTCGCAGCCAATAAGATAGGGCTATTCACTGATAAAAAAAGAGTTTTAGTAGATCGTTCCGATACCTCGGATAACCACACCCGATAACGATTCAATGCATGCCCAAAGGCGTCGGCGGAGTATGCTGTCTCGTTATCGGATGCATCGCAACGATCTACTAAAACTCCCAAAGGACGGAGAAGAACAAATTCCGAAGCAAGAAGCGCTAATATAATAAGCCATACCCTCCGTTTCTTAAGCTACCTGCAGTGACTATACGCGCATGTGCTTGAATTTTCCAGTGACTGAATATTTCATATGTATTTTACACTTCACAACCTTTCATCTCATCTCCGTCGACAGCGCAGGCTATGCGGAGCGCAAGTTCGTCTGCTTCTTGCACAGGGGTTGCGATGATATCAGAATGCTGAGCTCTGATTGGTTGATTGAAACATATAGTGGGTAGCCATCGAAGCACCTAGCATTCAGGTCTACCCACTATCTTTTCAATCAAAGCCAATCAGAGCTCGGCGTCCTTCTGACGTCACAGCGACTCCTGAGCAAGAAGCAGACGACTCGCTCTATACGCATAGGGATCACACGCTCGCACATCGAACGCAAGGTATACCCTTCCGGAGTTCCGTTCATGCTCTTATTTACAGTCAGAAGACTGAGACGCCGTAAAGGGCAGAGCACGAATTTTACATAAAGGGACTTCGGAACACAGACAACTCACAGGAACACTGAAATGTGTTTATGAGCATGTATATAAAAAAAAATTCGGCAGAGACATTTAAGACTGCTGACGTGTGGGAATGCGAAAGCATGACGCACGCACTAGTCACGGCTTTAGTCAGCCGGACCCGCGGTGTTGCCGTGGCGTCCTGGAAGGGTCCTCGTCTCGCCCGGGTTCGATTCCCACCCATACCAAAATGTACGAAATTTTCTTTTCAAAGCCATTAATTTACTTTGTTTACAGGAACCGTCCTGAGAAATGTTTGACGGGTTTTTACTCTTTGTGCTACGCTGCCAGCGGTTCGGCTGGCTCCTTAGCAACGATGACGCCGTTGCTATGGGGTCACATGATGTGTCGCAGCCAATGGTAATTTAGTGGCCGGGTTTCGCTGCTACAGACGGTATTTAGGTGTCGTGTTTCGCAGCAGCAGACAACGCCGGATTCGAGTTAATGCTTTTGCATTAAAAAAAAAATTGACCGCAGATTTGTTTTTCTACAACGCATATGAAGAGGTCAATCACTTCAAAATAAGGAGTTCAGCGACTGACGAAGTTCAGAAATCAGCTTGACTTGTTAATTCCATATCTGATGAGAAACTACGTGCAACATTTATTACGCTCATATTGTTTTTTATTGTTGTTTTTTTGCCTAATCATAATTTGAGTTCTTTTTTTTTTTTACATATTCTGTCATCAAATCTTAGATTGCTGTATACTGGGCGAGTAAATATCGTCACGAATGTCAATGGATGAGGCGGTTATAATTGAAGAAACTAAGCGTTTAATGGGGTGAACTTGTGCCCAAAAATAAAAAAAAGAAACAGCAGAGCGTCGCAGGCGTCGAAGTCGGCGTAAGAGCAGAGTCGAACGCTGGGGCGAGACTGACTGCGGCTTGCCACGCGGAGCCCTTTTTGTACACGCGTGGGCTTCTCGAACAATTGGCCGAAGAAGGCTCGCGCATAGAACATTCTAACCTCGAACATGCAACAGAGTTTTAGAACTTCCGAGAAGAGTAAATTGCAAGAATAAATAAAAGACGTGTCGCCACCAGGAATCGAACCCTGCCCTTCTGTGTAAAAGGCAAGCGCGATAACAGTTAGGCCACGGGCGCGCCGCCTACTTGGCCAGCTGCGCTCGCGGCAGTATGCAGCAACTTACAGGACGCAGTTATTATGAAACCGAATAGATGGCGAAAATATTTTTTTTTCGAGGATCTACATTTTGGACCAATATAAAGCTCATTTGCCTACCACCAATGGCGGAGCCGTTGCCCCCAGCCCTCAGCTTCAAGTGGGGTCGAATGTTCTCGGAAAGCAGTGCGAATCGCTCGTTTGGTTCCAGACGCCCAGAACGGTGGTTCAGCTGCCAGGAAAGCACCACGCCGTCTAACCCACAAGTCAGCAGCTGAACGACAAAACAGGGTACGGAGAGGAGCATTAGCTTAGGCGAATATACTTAGAAAATGACAATTGTCAGACTCAGTCTTAAGTTTCTCTCAGCGTCCGTCTGACCTTTAGTTCAGTTCCGAGCCAAATTTGTTCCTGGTCGTTAAAAACCAACCCAAACTATAATTGAAAGTCGACACTGTGCCCAATTCGCTCTAAAATGGTTTCGAGTTTTTTTTTTTTTTAATTATTATTAGCTTTTGGGAGGTTCGTCGGTAGGTACACCTTAAAAAGCCCCTGAAAATTAAAAAAAAAAAAAAAAAAAAAACATTTTTTTAAGTCTGGTTGGGGCACGCGTGCCAAAAAAAAATAATTTTACGCGAAAAAAAAAAAAAAGACTTGTTTTCTCTCTCAGCACTTCGTGCGCCTGGAGGAGACGTGGAGCGGCTTCGTCTTCACGACCGAGATGGTCCTTCCGGAATGACCTGTGACGTCACGGACTTCGCGGGTGGAATTTCAAATAAATCTCTCATCATCAATATTGCTCTAAAAATGTTTTTTCGCGTAAAATTTATTTCTTGACACGCGTGTCCCAACTAGACTATTAAAAACAGCAGGTTTTTGTTTTCAGGGACCCTTTAAAACACTGAGCTGGTTTGGTTCATATACTCGCAAAAAGGGCACCGTCGCATAGTACTAGAGACGTTTGCAAGTACGGCCTCTGGGCGCCGCCATGTTGCGGCTAATGTGGGTAGATCGCAGTGTTACTGTTTAACCCGGTACTTTTTCCGGTGACGTTGTAACGTACTCGTTACATTTTGCAAAACTGTAACGGGTAATGCTTACTTACGTTACTTATTTCGAGTAACGTGCAACGTAGTTACGTTACTCGCTACTTATTCTTCCCAAGACATAAAAATAACACATTTGAATTTTTTTCGTCCGTCTATGCGCCAAGCCATATGAATTTTTGTGTGTGTTTTTCTCTTTTTTTTGCGTTTTATTTTCCGGGTATTTAGGTGGAACCGTAAAAAATATAAGGTAATTATTTTCAGTTTCTGGATGAACATATTGTTTCCTGAAATATGGCCCTTATGCAAACCTGTAACGTCAAAAGAGTAAAACGCGCTAATTCACAATTTAAAAAAAGTAACGCAAAAGCAACCTGCGTTACTTTTTATCGGTAACGATAACGTGTTCCTTTTATTTTGATGTAACGTAGGTCGGTAACGCGTTCCTTTTATTTGCAAGTAACGAGAAACGTATTTCGTTACTTCTTTTTTGTTTTCCCGGTAACGCCTACAACACCGGACTAGAACGTCCGATAGACAACCGTTGCTGATATACGCCTCAGCAATGCTTGACTATCAGACGATCTACCCACACCAGCAGCAAGATGGCGGCGCCTAGAGACTGTACTCGTGAACGTCAATAGTCACTGATAGCATGAAAACGGAAGGGAGGAGCTTCAGTCGTCCTGCCTCCAGCTTTAGCCTCCTATATCCTTCGGTAATGTTTCGGCCCTTCGTGAGCCCCGAGCGTTCACACGCAGCCAAAGCACTGCGAAAGACAACGAACACGTGCAAAGCACCCAAACTTTGGGAAAAAAAAAGGACGCCTTGCTGTTTTTACGTTATCAGTGCCTAAATAGTAGCCTGGCAGATCGCTACGAGAAGCGTCCGCCGAAATGGAAAAGGTGGAGCGGCAGACAACGGATGAAAGGAGAGCCACGTGACTGCCGCCCCGCTGCGGCGAGACGCCGAAACACACTTCTCCTGAGGGAACAAGTGTGTTTCGGGTCCTTGCCGCTGCCAAAGCTGTGCACTGACGTCCAAGTTCCCCGAGAAATGGCTCTTTGATGCTTTGTGCTATAGCACAAAGCATCAAAAAGCCTTTGGAGCGCGAGGATTTGGTATAAAAAAATCCTCGCGCTCCAAATCTGTGACCGGGCACTCTATGGCACCGTCGTCCAACTGCCAGGCTTCGTGAGTATAGAGGAGGCTATGGTAGAATGTAACAGTCTCTCACGTTGTCTGCTTGAGAATGATCGGCGCCCCACACCATTCCGGTGACAGAATCTTGGTGCTCCCCGTGCATGAGCACCGAACTGGATGTCCACTGTTCAGACTCGCGTTCCAAGTCCCACAGTAGCACGTCGCCTAAAAAGAGAAGAAGAAAAAAAAGGGAACATACATAGTTAAATATTTATAGTCACTGACAGAATGAGAACGGCAGGACGTGTTTTTCAAACGCCCAGCTTCCACCATATGCTCCATGTCTTCTGCCAGGCTTTGACTGAGCGCGCGCGCGCGCTCGATGTGCACGAGACGGAGAAGCAATTAAGCGTTGGTGAAGGTAGGAAGCTCGCGCTAGATGTGCGACTACCGAACCTCCTTGTCATGGACTACAGACTACATGTGTTTTATTCTTAAGGCCGGTTCAGACACTTGCGTTTGAGTGCGTTTGACTGCGTTGCGTCGAGTGCGGAAAGCTAGTCACCGGCACATCTGTGCTTCGTATGAAGCGTGGAATCCAATCCAAGGAATCATCTTGGCACGCGATATAAGCAGCAGGGATGTCCTGGTTTCTCGCTGCCGGAACGCAGTCAAACGCAGTCAAACGCAACTGTCTGAACCAGGCTTTAGTTCGTCTCCTCCTGTCGCACTAAAGTTGTGTCTTATATTTGTTTACTTAACTTCAGCGTCCATTCAGACCTGGATCCATGGCTTCTGTGCGTTATGTGCGGTCAGATAATGCAACGTTTCGTGTCATTGTTGCTATTACTTAGGTTCTGGACGCAAGAATATTGGGTTAGTAAATAACTAACTACCTATTCATATTTTTCAGGTTCAACGTTTTCTCTTTTCACGTTAAAAATCGCTCATACACTTACTTTTTTTTTTTACAGTTGTCATGAATTTAGGTAAATAAGTACAACAGGTAGAGAAAGCAGTACGCCCCTTGGAAGCAGGGTGTTTTGGCCCCGACCACATGTCTGTGCTGAGCGGATTAACACGTATGCGGTTACGAATTTTGCTGAACCTGTGCGTGCACGCGCACGAAGCCCCTGGCCGTGCACTCAGGACACGGGCACGCAGACACGGCCAGAACGCCCTACTTTCTAACGTGCGTACACGATCGCGCTTGCTTGAAGTGCGGACACCTAGTGCATGGCAAGCATGTTCGTCCCCACGAATATACGCCATTTGATATGCCTCGGAAAACACCCCATTCCGTTCGGGCGTTTTTTTTTTCTTTTTAGTTCGAGTGTATGGTCGCCCTGTTGACAATTAAGTGCTCACCCTGAACCGTGCCCGCAGCGAGAACCGTCGGTCGTCGGGGGTGAAAGGCGACCGATGCCACGCAGCAGTCTGCGCTGAGGATGCGGTTGGACTCGACGTCTCCCCGGCCGGCGCGGTGGAGGTGCCACAGCTGCACGCCGGCGTCGTGCAAGCACCAGCTCTCGTGGGCGGGCATGCTGCACGTGCTGCAACTTTCTTCGTTAAGGACATCCAGAACGCGGGAACCTTAGCCTTCATTTAGCCGTGCCACTTCGTTTCCCCACTTCGCCCGTAAAATCCGAACAAAGCACGAAGATGGTTGAAGCTCATCGAACACACAGTTGGAGGAGCCGTAAATTCGCGCGCTCATTGAACTTTGGCGCCAAAGGCGCGGCGACGTCGTCCCTAGAGTCCCGCCGGCGCACACCCTGGACTTGGGCCCTTGTGTTGGACGAGTCTAGGATCCCAGGAGTAATTTGAAACGTAGTCTGCTCCAGTCACGGACAGCTTCAGAAAAGGGAGAAGGTATGGCTTATGACGTCAGCAGCTCTTGCTTTGCGTGCCGTAATCTGAACTGGCTGTGGAGCGAGAATAAGATGGTATGAGACTCGCCGCGCCATGAGTTTTCAAAGTGTCAGTGACCGTAGAAAGACAGTGGCTTCCGGCGTTTCGCTAAGAACAAAACACAAACAAAAAACGTCGGTTGTTACTTTGAGTTTTCGAAAAGACGGCTTTTTGAGACTTTCTCCTGTTAAAGGGGCGATGCAACGATTTTTGTATTTTGAGCAAATACCGCTTAGAACGGATCCCTGACGTTAATGACCTGTGAAATACCCGTTCGTTTTTCACCACATGCAATCGAAGTCGCAAAATAAAATAAAGAAAAACGAGCAGCGTTCACCTCCTCAACTCGCAGCCAGAACAAGCGGCCACGTGATCTGGAGCCGATTATATGCCGCCAATGTTGATCATAGCCATGCGCTGGGGTTGGCAAGGCACAGGACACGAGCTGAGTTCCAGACGTTGTTATGATTCGGCTGTTGTCGTCATTGCAGCGATTGGACACAGGACACTACCCGAATGCTTCTCGAGCTATCGATTATCACGAGCCCAAATCGAGTGTCCACGCCATGCCCGGGTCCAATCTAAGCCGCATTCAAATATCGTCACTGGGCGGTACTGCTACCGCCTAGCTACGTCATCAGGTTTTGCGAGGGAGAGATTGAATGAAAACACTCGGTTTTGTCCTCGAAATTACAGCGCAACAAAGGCGTTTCTTAGTCAGTGGTGTTGCCTGCGAGTATCCTTGAGTCCCACTAGTGCCAGTAAGCTCGTGTAAAGTGAAAAACATTCCAATTGAATATCGTTGCACCGCCCCTTTAAGCGTTTGTGAGGCACAACAGTACTAGTCCAGTGCTGCCACAAACAGGCAGCAAAAAAAAAAAAGAATAGCACGCGAACGAATTTTTATAAAAGCGCGGCCGTTAGAAGGATATGCCAGCGCAATTACTGCGCCCGTAGAGTTCCAGGAAATCCCTGTGCACTGGAACTGAAACGAAAGTTCATTCGTGCTACTTGTTAGGTCTTTATAGTAATCACATGAGCGCACAAAAAAATTGGAGATCATAAAAAAAAAAAAAGCTTGAAAATACTTTTGGGAAGGTCAATAATGGAAAGGCGACTTCTCTCAAAGCTGCGGTCCCAGTGCGAATACATCGTGCAAAAGACAGTCTGCAGGCAGGCCTAGTCTAAGGAGGTTTTCTTCCTCGTA